TTATTTTTTTTTTTTCTGCTAATAATGGCACATAATATTATTGTTTGGTAACTCCTTAAAGTCATACACAGTTATAGTTAGGTACTATAATTATGGGCATGTATATATATATTTATATTTATGTGTATAGTAGATATATATATATTTATTTTCGACTATGACTAAATAAAAAAAAAAAAAAAAAATGAAGCATTTGAACGATTTAGCGCGCAAACCGTTTAACATTTGAACAACCTTCTTAAATATTCTGTTAAATGTGTATTAGGTTTTATACAAATTTCAACATTGACTCAATATATTTATATATATATATCTATGTGTGTGTGTGTGTATTTAGTATATCTTGATTTTTGGCCTGTGTTCATGTTTGTCGAGTGTTTATTGTTGCAGCCCCCAAAAACAATGAAGTTCTTAATTAAAATTCACTAAGATGTAAAGAGCTAAATAAATATACATATGTATATGTATGTGATTTTAGGTGTGCATGCGTGTGTGCGTATGTGTGTGCGTGGCAAGTGGCAAATGGTAAAGAAATATGTGTGGACGCTTTTCAATTCAATCAGAGCGAGAAAATGCAAAATATTTCATCTAAATTCGAATACAAATGAAATTAAAATTCAATTAAAATCAATTGAGGCATTGAGGCAGCAGCCGACTGTCCAGCATTGGTGGCATGTGGCACGTTGCACATACAGTATTCCAGTCGTTTTATGTCTGCCTTATGTGTCAAGTGTCAATACGCAATTAAATGTGTCTGCCTGGCTCTCCATACAGGTGCAACAACAACAACAGCAGCAGCAGCAACAGCAGCAGCAACAGGAGCAACAGCAGCAACAACAACAAACAGCAAGCAGAAGAAGAGCTTGCCACAAGCCTATGCTGCTTGCAACCAGAAGGCGGCCATAATTGAATTTCAGTTTTCGGCTTTGTTTGAGCATTTTGTAATCTCATATGTCTTTATTTAATTTTTATATTCCATCCTGTTACAGCAGCAACAGAAGCTGACGTTAAGATTACAGCTGCAAGTGGCACAAAACTTTTAAGTGCGAGTGTTTGAGTGTGTGTGTGTGCGTGTGTGGGAGTGTAAGTATGTGCATGTACGTGTGTGGATATTTTTTATTATTAAATCAAAAAACTTGAGTAAAATTTCGCATGAAATTGTGTGTCTCTCTCTAACACATACACTCTCTCATTCAGAACCCCTCTCTCTCTCTCTCTCTCTCTCTTACAGTTTCACTTGATTGCCATTTGTTTTTTAGCGAACTGTGCGGCAAATGTTATGCGGCTAACTGGCTTCACATAACAAGCGGACAAACACAGCCACAACACACTCACACGCACGCTCTCTCACTCTCTCTTTCTCTCTCTCTCTCTCCCTCCCACACACACAACTTAAACACAACTCGTTGCTGTGTGTCAGCAAGCGACGCATTCAATTAAACTTCCGCCAAACATGAAGCTTGCCGCTTGTTGCCAACACAAAGTACCCCAGCCCCGCCCCCCCAAGCGCCTCTCCCATGGCCTATGCGGCTGTCATTCACTCGGCTGCTGCGCTGCTGCTGCTGCTGCTGCTGCTGCTGTTGCCTTAAGGTTATAAAATAAACATGTTACCATACACAAAATTTAAATAGATACAAGTTTGTGAGCGCATAAAACAATAAACCGCAGTAATTTAAAAAAAAAGAAAGAAAGAATACAGTAAAGAAAACATACATACATACAAATGTATAAAGTACCAAAAAAAAAAACGACAGAATATTGAAGACAAAGCGACTCGCCCTCTGGCGGGGGAAATTTGAAATTAAAATACAATTTAAAAGTACCAAATAGAGCAATTAAGCGGCCTTTTCTTACAACACACACACACACACACACACACACAGACACAGAAAGAGAGCCAAAGCGGGTGGTGAGCGAGTGAGAGAGGGAAAAGAGGTAGCATATAACAGCATGTGCTCAGCACATGCAAACTTCATTACAAACCGGAACAACTTAAGCAACAGCCTAGGCACAATCATCAAGTACAAGTACAAGTGCAAAGCACACACACACACACACACACACGCACATGTGTGGCATACATTTGTGCCCGAACACAGAAGAAAGATAACAAAAGACGCGCGCGTTTTACAAGCAGCAAAGTGGCAGCAGACAGCAAGACAACGGACAGACAACAGCAGCAGAAGCAGCAGCAGCAACAGCAGCAGCAGCCACAACAAAAAGTGTTGCATACTTTGGGCAGGCGTGGCAGTTGTCGCACGTTCTATGTAGTAGTTGTTGATGGACGACGCATTGCTATTGCCTCGGCGGCTTGTAATTTGAAACACTTGTGTCAATGTAGTACGCCCCACCCTGACCATGTACTCAATGCCCCCGCACTCCTTCTCGCGCCCATCGAGCCTGCAACAGATTCCACAAAATTGTCGCATGTTTTGCTGTTGTTGCTGCGGTTGTCAGCGTCTTATTATCATCATCAGCGGCAGCTTTCGGCGGTTTTGTATATGAGCAGCACACGAACACACGCTCGCTCGCACACAATTGAGTGTGCGAGTGTGTGAGTAGATGAGTGTTTTTTGTTGCTGTTGTTGTTGCTTACTGACATAACACACACAGCTGTGGCACAGTGAGCGGGGCTTGGGTTAGTTGCAAGTTGTGTGTTGTCATCGAGCGTCTTCTCGACGAAACAGTAAAATTCACTTTGCCAAAAAGTTTTTATTTCATTAAAAAGTGTCTGCATGTGTGTGTGTGTGTGTGTGTGTGTATGCTTGGGCGTGCGTGCGAGTGTGTGCGTCTCGTTTACTTGGCAGGCAAGCAATTCATCAAACCAAATTTAGTCACCACACACACACAAACACAGGCACACACTCTTGCACACAAAACTAACGGACTGACAGCTCAATGAAAGCAAGCAGCAGTCGCCAATGCTTATGTTGCCTTTGGCTTTATCATGCTGCAAGTTGTAGCCGCAACAAAAACTGCCAAAAAGATGTTGCCCCAGACAGAGCCGGCAGTTCGCTAACAACTGCATTTTGGTAAAGTTTTTAACCTTTTGCATATGCAAAAGCAGCGCCAGCAGCGGCGCAGCGGCGCAGCAAACGGGTAAGCGCAGTGGGCGTGCGAGTCAGCTGGTGAGCGAAACGGGCCAAACGGGCGAATAGTAAATGGCTCAAGTTGTTCAAGCGTGCGTTTGGCTTGTGCTTGTGCTTCTGCTTATTCTTGTTCTTGTTTTTGTTCTTGTGCTCGACGTCTGCTGCAATGCTTGCAGGCATAATGAAAGATTCGGCTTCTTCTTGTTCTTTTTCTTTCCCACACGCTCACACACACACACATACGCACTAGTTGCTTGGGCTGTCCGCTTCGCTGAAAAATGAGCTGCAGCCGGCAGATTCGAAACGGGTGCGTAACAGCTTAGTGCTCGCATAAGTGTGAGCAGGATGGGCTGCAGTAAAACTGTACTCAACTAAATGTAAGCGTGTGTATGTGTGTACGTGTTCTGCGCTGCAGAAATATGACATTTAATTTGCATAAATTATGCTCGACTACCCGAAGCCCAGCCCCGCCTTCACATAGAATTCGTTTGGGGATTTGTATATGAAACAGAGAGACAAAGATTAAGAACATTCATCATTAACCTTTAAGTTCTCGATGCGCTGTCAATCAAAGAGGAAGAGAAATGAAAGCGAAAAAAATAAGACGAAACAAATCAAAAGTTTGACATTTTTGTATTAATTGACATTTTTTTGTTGGTCTTTTTTTCGTCAACTATGTCCTTGAGCTTAAATATAAATCGAAGTAGGAAATTAACTTTGTGCCTCTTTTTTTCTCATTTTTGTTTTTATTGTATTTCTTTTTTTCGAATGCAATGAAAAAGGTTAAACTTAATGGATTTTTTAATGACTTGAGCTTATCTCGAGTTCGGATCAAAGGAAAAGGTCAGGCCGCATAAATCAGAGCTGCGAATCGAGAAATTTATAGAGAAATCATTAAATTACTTCTTCTCAACAACACTTTATATGATTTGCAGATGTATCCCCACATATGTATATTATAACTTTAAACAAAATCATATATAAATTTGCTTAAACTTTTCATATCGTTCGATTTTCAATGCAATTGTCTATTTATTTCGGCTTAGTCGCTCTTGGTATCTTAAGTCTTAAATGATTATACATTATAAACACTCTAAACTAATATTAACAAGACCTTGAGTACAGTTTGTAACTATTTAACTGCCGTTAGTTTTATATATGAGGCCTTTTACCGTTCACACAAAACATGAATATATTTATATTAGGTTTAAATATAATTCTTTCGCGAATCACTTACCCTTAGATTATAATATTATTATAATATATATATATATTTATTTATTTATATATATATATATATGCAAGTATACAGATAGCGCACTTTATTGAGTTTATATGTCTTTATAAACATTTTTTCCTTCTGTTTTTCATTTTATGTATATGTAAATAAATTTGTAATGTTGTAACAGAACTTTAGTGTCTATTCATTATTCAAACATTTTTTTATGTTTATTTCATTTTTTGTTAGCTTTAACCAATTCAATTGTAAACTATGTTTTTGTTTATGTAAATTACAAACGGCCTACCTTAGCGCTGCTCTGTGAGATCAATGTAGATAGTCCCAAGGACACCAGCTGAAAATCGCGTTTACGCCGAAGGTCAAAGTGAATGCTAACTATAGAAGAGACTTCAGTGTTGGAAAACAGCGATAAAAGTTGAACATTTTACTCATTTGACAGAAAAGAAGAAAGAAGAAAGCTAAAAACAAAACAAAAATAATTTCCAAATAATTTAATTAATTGATTGTCAATTAAAATGTATTCAAAATTATTTGTATGAACTCAAAACAATAAACATATTTTTATCGTAATATTTATAAATAATATTACATTTGAAAAAAATGAAATTAAAAATTCAACAAGTTTATGTTAAGCACTTTAATCATTTAAGAATGTTGAAAAGCTCAAAAAATGGAAAAACTTGTAGCCTTAAAGTTTTTTGCATTGTGCAACACTTGATGCCTTTTGGGTAGAGTTTTGATTATAATTATTGAATCTTTGATTGGGCTGCCGTAATCAGCTAGTGCCATTGGGCCGTAGCGATGCAAACTGAAAAAGGCCCATCAACATATACATATATCTGTGTGTGTGTGTGTGTGTGTGGATATGCACTTACTCTAAGCAAGCATCTTGTTCTTATACAAGAAACGCAGTTTAATGCTTTGTATGTTTAATTCCCTCGAAAAAAAAAACCTACTCTGTCTGAGTGTGTGTGTGTGTGTGTGCGTCTCTCTCTGTGTGTGTGTGTGTCCTCCTCTAGTGCACGGCTGCCACCATGTATTATAACAGTCTGAGCGCCGCAACTAAGCCGGACAAACCCATTAAGAGCGGCTGTCGACAGTGGAAGAGCCACAGCCATTGACGATAGGAGTGCGAGTGGAGCCGATGGCTGGTTGGGCTGAAGGCGCGATGTGGTGCGCCAGCGGTGCTGCGCTCGTTGTTGTCCATGGGGCCGCGCACTTCCGTGTTGCCCGTGGCGCCGCCAACGCCCCCAGCGACACCGCTGCCGCCGTAATAGGTCGGCTTACGTGTGTTGCCAGCGCCGTTCAGTTGGCCACTGCCGAATGCCAGCTCAATGGAGCTGGCGCCACCGCCACCAGCACCGCCACCACCACCACCACCACCACCGGTCGCTGTCTGCTGCGGGTGATGGTGGTGCTGATGCTGATGCTGATGGCCGCCACCGCTGCCGCCGGGCTTATGTGTCGGTGGCTTATTGCCGCTGGTGTAGTAATGGTGCGGCGATAACGGCGGCGACCCGGCGAATTCGCCATCCTCGAAATCCTCGGCCGAGCCGTAGAGCTCGTCGTCCTCCGGCTGGTAGGTGACTTTGACTTGTTGTTTCAGTTTTAAAATGTCATTGGCATCCGTGTCGGCGGCGTTGCCGGCAGCGCTGCCAGCGCCTCCGTTTCCTTTGCTATTTGAAGGATTTTTACGATTCGGTCCCGGGATTTCTGTCGTGGGCGAGAAGGCGGAAATGTAACGGTAACGCTAACAGTAACAGTAACGGCTACAGCAACGGTAACTCTACTATGAGTAGTAATTGAAACAAAGGTGCAAATACCTTTAGCTACACCCCATACCCCTCCCGTTAGCACACCCCCGCTCGTATGTGTATGAGTGTTTGTCGCGTTTATTATCCATAAAATATGACCCTCCCCCCTCACCCCCCTTCAATATGGGTGGCCCACTTACCGTATAGCCGGATGCTGCTGTCAACTTCGCCCAGTGAGTTTTTCGCAATGCAGCGGTACGAGCCGACATCGTCCTTCTGAAATTTTCGCACAATCATTGACATTTTCGTTTCGTACATCGACTGCGAGTGCTCCTGCACATGGTATTTGCCCGACGAGACAATCATTTCACCTGTTGATTAACAAATGCATTCGAAAAAGTTATCAACTCTGAACTCGCACACTCAAAAGCCCCATTAAAGCTGTTCCCGACAATGCGCATAAGGCGAGAAGAGGACTATTAAGTGGGGGGCATCTGTGTAGGTCTAACAGGATTTGATTCTTTCCCCGCTCTATCTCCCTTTATCTCTCTCTCTTTCTGCCATTTCCCTGCCGCTCTCCAGATCCCTATATCACTATCCTCTCTCTCTCTCTTTCTGAGTGTAATTTTCCCAATCTCTCTCTTCTTCCATTTACTTTGCGGTTTTTCTTTATTTCTCTCTGTTTCCCTCTGACATAAGTCCTCTCTTTGCATCCTCCTCTCCCTATCCTCTGTCCAACTTTCTCTGTCTAGCTCTCCCCTCTATCTATCTATCTTTAGTTTTTTCTCTCTTCTCTCATTTTCGCACTCAAGTTCCCTTCATATTTATCCTGCCTTTTACTGGTTTCTCCTGCAGTGTCTCCTATCTCTCTCTTTTCTTTCCTTTGCTTTCTCTCTGACACGTTTCCACTTTTCCCTCCCTCTCACTCTCCCTCTCTCTCTCTCTCGCACACACAGTCTAACACTTTCAATTTATTATAATTAATATGATTCCTTTCATCTGCCATTTTCAATCAACACATGTTCTTCCCTTTCTGCCATTCCAATTCTCTGCTCGCTGCATTCCAGCCACTGTAACCACCGCCCTTCTAGGTGATTCTCATTGTTCGAACAGAGGTAAGCAACTATTTCTTAATACATCTGGCATTTGATGCTGAGCACAAAGCGACGCCGCAAAGGAACTGTAATTAAATTGAATTAATTACACGAAAATCGATATTGCAATGGCCCGAAATTGTTGTTAATTTAGGTGCACATGTAAAATATTCACACAGATGCATATATGAATGTATTCATATAGGTATTTCAATTGAAAAGGCAAATTTTGTTGAGTTTGCGGTCGCGAATGCAGTTAGTTGTGCGACGCTTCACCGACTGCCAGAGTCAATTATAAATGAATTCATTGCTGATATTAAAGCGCATCCTAACAAAAATCAATGGATCGCATATGATTTATGCCTCTCCGGGCAGGCAGCAGGAGTCGGGCGTGCTGCCAATGTGCATAATGCGGACGATAAGCCTCTGGCATACGCTGACGTTGGGCCAAGACGACCGCAGCATTAACACCAAGACACACACACACACGCACACACACACATACATGCAGAGAGACACAAACGTAGTTAGATAGACGCATCATTGACTACAATGAGAAACCACACACACGCATCAGCCATCACATATGACTAGGTGTATGTGTGTGTGTGTATGTGTGTGTGTGTGTAGAGCGGATATACGATGTTGCCTTAGCATTGATGGCGCCTGTCGCTATTTATGTGCTTGCATTACATTTGATGCTTAATGATTGAGAAAACAACTGTTAAAGTCACTTGTAGTAGTTGCAAATACACACACACACACACACACACACATATACATCTGTATCCTGTGCCTAATGTGATTGTTAAATCAGTCAGGCTTTGACTTGACAGCGCACAGGCCAAGCTAAAACTAAAATATAGACGAGAATTGCAACTATAATAACAGTTATATGAAAAGACATACATATACATATATATATATTATATTCAAGCTGCATTGGAGTCCTATGGACTGCTTAATACTCTGCTCGCACTTGAAATGTGCAAAGTTCGACTTGAAGTTCAATAGCTGCTGCGGTCTGGCCTTAGAAGTCATTATAGCAAGCTGTTGTGGCTGCTCCTGCTCCTGCTGCTGCTGCTACTCCTGCTGCTGCTGCTACTCCTGCAGCTGCTGACCATGTCAAGATAACGCCCAACTCTAATTACGTTGAGTGAGTTGCGCCTTCGAGTAAGTGATTTTAAATTTGATTTTTTGGCTTGATTAGTTTATGGCTTAAAGTTCAACTGGGCTCACTGGACGTGACGATCTGACAGTCAACTAATGACAATGCACACAAGCAAGAGCACACACACACACACACACACACACACAGGGGCATAGTATAAAAGGATGTGTGCATATGCCACCGAATGTCTATAAAATGTAAAAGTTGACCAAAAAGTGCCCAACGGCTGGTGGGAGAAAGAGAGAGAGAGATGGAGACTGAGAGAGAGAGGTATTGACTACACACACGCACACATATGTCTATCTACATACATATATACTCACCGGTATCCTTAATCCAGTAGTTAATTGATTTGGGCGAGGCCTCAACGTGACACTCGATTTGAACATCAGTGCCAAGCGGTGCTCCGACTAATTGATTCGGCACTTGTATGACTGGATGAACTGCAATAGGTGAAAACAGAGAAAGAGTGAGAGAGAGAGAGAGAGAGAGAGTAGATGAGTGAGAGAGGCAGGCATAAAGTCGTTATGTACTCGTTTGTTATAGCTGCACTGTGCAGCACATTATAAAACCATTTTTTAAACGCATCCATTTCCCCCCAGTCTTTGTGTCTCACACACACACACACACACACATACACATGCCCACTCATGCACCTGATATGTTGCCCATCTATAGACGTGTGCAGCCACATAAAGGCGCATTATGTAACTGGCTATAGAATACCGACTTCCATTGAATCACTCTGTATTATCCATTGTAATCTATTCAAATTCCATTCGAACGAGCGACTCGCTCTAGCGTTTCTAGAGTAATATAATATGTTTGGCTATCGCTTGAGTATGGATATAAATCACTATTGTGGGTCAGAATGAATGACTTCTAATGTCTTAGACTCTTATAGGCATAATTCTTCGAGTTGCTCTACTCGTTAGTCGCTTATGCTACGTGTAATTCGCTGTATCAATTTGTCTATTTACTGCATAGGGAGTGGAGTTACTCTTTGGTTTCTGCTGCCTGACGAGTTAATGCCTTGAGCTTGGTAGACAACTCCTTATGCATCCTGTTATATAATAAAGGAAGCTAGTATACTACCAAGCCGAATGCAACGTACATTAATTATGCAATTTACTCGCTATTAATGACCTATCACACTCGTTACTTTTCGCTTACACTTCTGTCAAGTGGCTAAACATTAAATCTAGACAAACTTTATATATCTTTAACCCCATTCAAAGAGCTAATGACCTCTATATTCGCTATTTATGTGAAAGTACCTATATATACTCGCTACTTTTCGTTTACTCGCTAGTCAATTGACAGCATATTGTAGATTACTTGTACTTTATATAGATTACTTAGATAATCTCACTTGATTCGGCTCCAACTTTTAAGCGTTCCCATATAACTTGCTCAGTTACTCGCTATTGCTGACATATTATACTCGCTGCTTCTCGCTTACTCGTCTTTAGTCAACTGACTACCTATTATAGACTACATATATAAGGAGACTTGTTCCACATTGCTTTACCCTAACTCCTAAGCAGCTACATAAAACGCGCTGAACGAGTTTGTTACTCGTTGCTTTTGTCACTTTATACTCGCCGCTTCTCGTTTACTCGATGGTTTCTTCGAGACTACACAGACTTGTTCTACACTTCTTTACCGTAGCATAGCTCTTTAATAACTGCACACCATTCGCTCTTTTTCTCCTTCTATCTACTCGCTGTTGCTGGCATTGCGTGTCGCTCTTCTCGTTGCTTTTCATATACTCGTTAGACGAGAGATGCTCCCTCGACTTCTCGTTATTCTACTACTACTACTTCTAACTACTCGCTCAACTAACGAATTGCTTACTCGCCCCGTTTTACCTATCCAGATGCCATAAAAGAACTCGGCTCGCCACTCACATTTGCCACATTCTTAGCTTGTTCTATGCACTGATAAGAAACGACAACAATGTGAGCTCGACTTTAAATAATAGTCGTTGCATAATGAATTACGCACACACATGCAGATGGGTGTGTGTGTGTGGGAGGGGGGCGAATAGAAAGCCAATTGGATGTGGACTAACTCGGTGCGGTCATCAAAATGCAATGCAGATGCTGTGCACGTCTCCCCTTTGCGGAGTAAAATGGCAACTCTTTTGCAATTCGTGTGCGTGTTTATTGTCACTTAGTGAGAGAGAGAGAGGGAGAGAAAGAGAGGGAGGGGGAGAGACTGACTGAATGTGTCTAGCAGACGCTCTCACCGAGCTATAACCAAAATTGGTGGTTTTGTAAAACTGCCAAAGCCGCCACAGGCCGTTGCTTGCAACGTGGCGAGCCCCACAACCAGCTAACAGGCATGTGTACACACACACACACGCACACACACACATGCAGAGAGTGAAATGTGTGCGTGTGTGTGAGGTAACATTTCTATAGTCATGTGCATTGATAGTCGATTGCAGTGCAACAGCAGCTTGCAACAATGACCTGTGCATGTCTCTGCCTCACTCTCTCTCTCTCTCTCTCTCTCTCTCTGTATGTGTGTGTGTGTGTGTGCACAGCTTAGGACAGTTTTGTAAGTCCAAGAGATTTTAATTGATTTCCGTGCCCGAGTGCATATGTCTTATCTATCAACTGTCTATTTGCTCACACACTGTAACCACACCACAGGCGACTATGTGTGTGTGTGTGCGTATGTGTGTGTGTGTGTTACATACTAACTATGCTTTAATACAACATTATCATAAACGATTAATAGCAATAAATGTTAGATCTCAAAGTCAATGAATGAGCTTATGTGAGCTTTGCCGACGCTTTAAAGCTGCCGATGCTGCTGCCCCATGTTGCATGCAACCTGGTGTGGCACACGCACACACACACAGAGACACAGAAAATTGACATTTAAGTCACGCACATTGCAGTGGCGTCTGATGACTGCCGGCATAGACTGTGCCCCGCCCACTTTCGCTCAAGTAGAAAAATTCAACTCCCTGTCAGTGGCACTCGGAGGCAGCCAACGAGCCTCTGCCGCATGTCCAGCTTGACCAGTGCCCGAGTGCTGGTTGACTGCGTCTATTTTCAATCTGCATACACACAGTCAACACACGCACACACATACACACACGCATACACGTACTGCAACTTTGGCAGATTGCACTGGGGGGAGGGGTGGGCAGAGGCGCAGGAGGCGCGGGAGGCAGAGGCAAACACTTTCGCTTGCGATTTACAATTTGGCCATGATTATTCCGAGCATGTGCATGCGCCTGCAGCTGTCCCAGCTCAATCCTCAATCCACTATCCACAATCCTTGGCGTTCAGCTCCCCTCGGCACCCCCCGGTGCCTAAGCCTCAGCTGCCTGCTGCTGGCTCAGTTGCGGCAAACAAAGCCACAAATATGCACTAATGACGTCGCAGCAGCAGCAGCAGCTGTAGCTACAATTACAGCACACACACACACACACAGCTGTGCTGCACCTCATCACATTTTGGGGCCATTGTGCGAAACTTTGAGTTAAAGGTAACAGAGTCGAGCACAAAAGCCATTGACGTGTATTTTTCAGCTCATTGGCAGCGCAAATGGAGTCCAGAGCGTTTTGGGCCTACAACAATGATTGTCCAATCCACCCACTCCTGCTGCTCCTGCTACTGCTGTCCCTGTCTAGCTATGCGCATGTAGCAACTGCGAATTTATGCCGCTGCCCGGGCGCTTCATCTATCCACTCGCCTGGCAAATATCTGCTGCGCTCTCTTTAGCCGTACGTGATTTTCAGCGATTTGCTGCAATTATTTGCCTTGGATCAAACAAAAAGAAAACACACACACACACACAAAATAACAAATAACAGCAACAAATCAAAAACAAAATCTTGTTGAAAGTGCAAAATATACAGGTGCACATAGATGAATGATATAGCAAAATTGTCTAAACAATGAAAACTTTAAATAATCCTTAAAACAAACTTGCATATCGAATCAATAGTTGTATATGCGTGTATATCAATATACGTCTGTATATATGTATACATGAGAAATTTCACTCCAAAATATTTGGCAAATATTTTTTCAAGAGAAAAAAAAAACACAAATAAATTCAACCTGAACCCGAACCTGAGCCTCGAAACTTGTTTGATTCAACAAAGTTTTGCCACACTGCAAATTTAAAGCTAAAGACGAGGCATTTTCATGGATTTGGAAAAGTTTTGGTCTAGAGACTGCTTGGACCGAAATAGAAACCTAGTTTATTTTTATAGTTTTTAGGCAATTAAGTTATTACTAGTTGGAATTTTTACTCAGATTAGAGTTATTAGAAATACAGTCGAATCAGATTATACGAATTCCGCTTATAGCGTCCGTGCGGTTATTGCAATGAAAATTCTGATCCCTAGAAAAACTTATATGAGTAAATTTATATGGTTAAGGCGTCTATCGGGTGAGACTACGGTCCCTTAAGTGGCGTTATAACAGGACTTTATTGTAATGTGTTTAGTGGTATAGTAAAAGCACAATTAAGTATATCTACAGTGCATCAATTATGTCTTCGTACAGCAGCCACATTGGAAATGAATAAATAATTAAAATTAACAATCAAATTTTGAGCATTTTCTGTGGGCAATGTATATAAAATTATGAAAACATATGTATGATCTGATTATCTGGATTATTAATTTTTTAAAATTACAAAATTATGTGAACATGTCAATGCCCGATCATCGCGAGTTTCAGTTTGCCAAAGCTTTTCATTATTTTATTTATTTATTGGAGATTAGAATTAATCTAAGAAAAAAACACACCATTGCACCTAGATTTTTAATTTTTAATTAAAAAAAAAAAAAACTATTTTAGCCTGATTTCCCATTTACAATGGATTCAGGATACAATAACTTAATAATCAAATGAAGTCAACTGAGGCCTGTGAAAAATCTTTTATTTTTCAGCTTCAGCAAACGAATAAAGGAGAACGATATTTTCTCTCTTAGAAGTCCAAGTTAAAATACCCCACTTATCATTTATAAATGCTCTTTACAATATAACAGTCAAATAACACAACAGTTGCTGTTAACTCACAGACATAGTTAACATAGCTGTTAAGGCGTTTGAGTGAGCTATGAATAAGATCAATGGGGGCGGCATTCGAGTTTGAGTGAATAATGACTGTATAAGACATTGTTAGCACACTCTCCCTTCTCTATATCATGCTTTCCTAAGTCGTATATCACTTGTGCTCTCAATCCTCAACGCACTCGCTTAAAACCCGAATCAGTCAATTGCTTGCTGAGTTTTTTCTCAGAGTGTGAGTGAAAGACACTTTATAAATTTAGAATTAGGAGCTGGCACTGGCTACTGAGGCCTTCGCCTATAAAAGACACTCATTTGCATACAATGAGAAACGATCAATGCAGCATAAATATCGACTATATATATATATATAATATATTGTGTATAATATTGTGCAAATAAAGTTTCTTCAGCAATATTCAAGAAAAGAATTATTAGTTCTCCAAAGTCTGCGAGCCCAGGGGGAAGGATCATGAGAGGCTGAGTATTCCTGCTCTTGAAACTTCAACTTCTTATGACTGTATAATATTTAAATGATCTAACATTTAGGCGCGTTTAACTAAATAAAATTAATTCTTATACATTTTACAAAAATGTTAAATATAGAACTTTTACCAGTGAATAGAGTAATTTTGCTTATAGACTTTCGTTCAATAAATTAGATAATTTGGCATTGCGTGAAATGTATTGGGAATTCAGATTGTAATATAATTCCAATTCATATAGGAATGCATGCTAAATGGATGCGAGTCGCTGGTCTAGTTTGTGGGAGAGCTGGGTGGCACATGGAAGCTGTCTGCTAATTGTGGCCAAATTGTTTGTTGCGCGTCCTGCTGCTCTTTTCCTGCGTGTGGCAGCGGCGCATTGCCAAGTCCCTAATTAGTCGTGCAGGAAGGTGCCTAACAAGGCAGGAAACTTCAGCAAATGGCGCGGAAACACGCAAAGGGATATGCGACCGTCGTTGTCGTAGTCGTAGTCGTTGCCGTTGTCGTTGTTGGTGTTGGTGTTGGTGTCGGTGTCGATGTTGCTGCTGTCAGTACTTGGGACTTGTGCCACATGCTGTGGCAGGCAGCTAGTGCCGAATCGAGCTTTATCAGGCGGCTGCAGTGCGCGCAGTTTGCTGAAGATGCCAAGGAAAAAAGCCCATGCAGATGAGGGAAAACTTTGTTTTCACTTATTCAGACAGGGAGAGGGCGAGCGGGAGCGGGAGCGGGAGCGAAAGAGTTGGACAGACAGAGGCAACATTTGCCAAACAAATTGTGAGTAAGTTCCTGCAAAAATAGCAACAGGAAATGCACTCACACACACACACACACACATTCAGAGCTGACGAACTGAGGAGAGTCGAGCGAGAGTTTTTGAGCCGGGTACGGCCCAAGTTGATCAGGAACTTTGAGAAGGTGTCGCTGCATGCCGCGCCGATAGCAGCTGCAGCTCCCGTTAAGGCTAGCTGCTGTGCCTAAGAAGGACTCGCACGCTGCTGCCCCGGCTCCTGCTGCTGCTAGCCAGAGGCACTTGAAGGCCACATTAACAAAATGTCAAAATGTTAAAAAGCGTGATTTTGCCACCTAAAACGCAATGGCAGCCAGCGAGCTATATATACATATATATGGCTGACAAGTGTAGTCTCTCTGCTGTCTGTCTCTCTCGCTCCCTCTTTCGCTAGGCGAGACAAAGGGACAAGCCAAAACAAACAGGCAGCAAGGACATGGCCAGGAATTGCTCGGCGCACGCTGTTGGCAAACAAGCGCAGTGGAGCTGCTGCTGATGTCGTGATGATTGAGTGAACCTGCCACATGGAGCGGCTGGGCGACAGGACGACAGGACGACAAGGCAAAGGAGAGGCAAGCAGTTGCTGCTGCAAACCATCGTCGTCCTCGTCGTCGTCGTCATCAACTAGGACAGCATGCCGCACGTGCTGCAGACAGGTTGACAAAAAACTGTGGCCCCAACAGCAGCAGCAGGAGCAGGAGCAGGAGCAGGAACAGCAACACAATGCACAAGGCATCAGGTAATGCCCGGTATCAGTGACTGGATTTAAACGGATTACAACAACGACAATCGAGTTAGCGCCGCACCGTGCCACAAGCTGTGCCCCCAAAAGGCACTCGCTGTCCCTCTCACTCCCTCTGCCTCTACCCACCCGTCTCTCCCTCTCACGCTCTCTCGCTTATTGCTTACAATTTTCAGCTTTGAGCTTGCCCTTTTTTTCCGCAGCATTGCTGAGGGCGCTGTATGTGTGTGTGTGTGTGTGTGTGTGTGTGTGTAGTTGATAACTGTGGCTACAGCTGGGCGCGCACTGCGGTGCGGCGGCGGGGTGGTGTCAGTACACTAAACTAGATAAACACCACGACGACGGCTAGCGCCAAAAACTGAGAGTTCAGCTCAAAGGATGAGACCCGGACGAAGCCAGCCAGCCTGAGCTGTGGCGACAGCTGACTAATGATGTGTGTGTGTGTAAGTGTGAGTGTGTAAAGAAACATGTGCAAAAAAAAAAAAAAAAATACAAAAGAGACTACAGAAAGTTGACCAACCACAACTCTCTCTAATTAATGCCACCCACCGCCCGCATGGCGACCGACAGCAGCAGCAAGTGGATTGCGGATTTGATTTACTTACAGTGTATGCTAAGCGAGATGCGCTTGGAAACCGATGGGGGCACTCCATTGGAGGCGATGCACAGATAGGAGCCCATCTCGTTGCGTGAGATCTTCGTCAGCTTCAGCACCTCGCCGCGGAACGAGGAGACTGTCAACGGGGAATAGATGGATAAATTAATGTATAATAGATATACATATGTATATAGTATATATTCTATATGACGAACTCTTCGAATAGCTCAATTACAATATTTACGTACCCAGAGTCTTGGTGCCTGCATTGTCCTTCAGCACGATTTCGCTGCCATCCTCGCGGCGCCAGTTCACAATGGGCTCCGGATAGCCGCGTGCACTGCAGCAAAGAGAATGAAAATGAATGAAATTGATAGAAAATTGGTAAATAAACATGATTGGGAATAGTCAATAGATAGATGTATGTATGTACATACGTATACATACATAGATACATACATATGTACATATGTACTTGAGCGGCTCACAGTTTATTTGATATTTTATATATGAAATTAAGCTAGCTGATGTCCAAGTCCTGCATCATCAATTTGTTTGATGAATATTTATATACTGATGAGCCTAATGTAGCAGGCATTATTTCATTATTTATTTTTATATATTATGTCCGCAGCTAATGCTTTCGTGTTCTTCGCTTTTTACTCAAAATGGCGCTTTCGCTCTTCCTCTTCTGCTTAAGCTACTCACGATCATCGCACGAGCGCTATGGACTATCGACAGCCTCATTGCTATCGATTGGGCAAAGTATCGATAGTCAACTGTAGTGCTGTCCCCTATCATCTCTTATTGGGCTATTAAAGTGTATATGTATGCACAATGTTTATGTATGTATGTATGTATACATGCATGTATTTATTTCTGTTTGTATGTATGTATGAATGTATGTATGTACGCATTCATGTATGGATGTATGCACATATGTAACCATGAATGTATGTATGTATGTATGTATGTATGTATGTATGTATGTATGTATGTATGTATG